AAATACCCCAAAAAAAATATACCACAAAACCATCCAAACCAATGGTTTACTTAAAAGTTATGGAAATTTAAAAAAAAATTGAAAACTTTTCTGTTTCTATATATACATTAAATTAATTGAAATTTCTGACTTTCCTTACTGGTGTGTATCACAAGGTATCTTAGGCAAAGAACCTGTTAATTCCCTAATATCTGGTTATGCACAGCCTTTCATGGTGCTGTCTGTCCCCATCACTACCATGCCTGCACTGTGCCCACAGCCCTTTGCTTTTCAGTCTTCACCTGAACACCTAAAGTGTTGCACTTCAATACAATGCAAAACAAATGTAAGCATGACTCCAACACTAAAAGGCATTTCAGCAGTGCTGAGCATCTGTGCCCAAAATGTCTCTACTACATCTCTTTTTCCCGTGTTCAGAATATATATGACCATTACAGGCACCTGATGCAAAAATTCTTTGCTTGGAAACTTGGAAAAGTGGAAGTTTCCACTTTTCTAATTATCACTGTCCTTGCCTAAATGGTAGGATTCTGGACTACACATAAAGTAATTTCATTCCTCACTTCTATATGAAATATATTACAATTTTATGTACAGTTATCTTACTGATAATTGTTCTCTGCTAGGTTTCTCCTGACCTTTAAACTGAAGAGAAAAGAAATATACATTTGTTTGTCTAAATGATGTTGTGCCAACTGTAATTACTCCTAGAGCAGGTAACTTATGTGCTGAGAAAGTTTATTTCTTCAAAACATTGAGATTAAATTGCATTGCATCACTGAATCTGACTTATTAAACAGAAATAGGCCAGAGGACAGCTACTTAATGAAAGATATATTCTATCATTTGAATGTCAAAGAGTGTGAAGCTGGCAAAATGTTGGGTGTCCTACTCTAGAACAAATAAAGGTATTGTTAATGTGAGAAAGCAAACTATTCACAATTTTAAATTACTCTGTTGTCAGCTTCCCCATATAATTATATAGCCCTAGAAACTGAAAAACAAAAACAACCAACCAAAAGTAATCAAAACATTTACACAGAATTGGAACTGTAAATTATTGAGAAAAAAGGTTTTATCAGCAAGAATGTCTCTAAAGTATTTTAGAGAGTTTATTTTACTTCAAGACAGGTCATTTGTGCACCAAGAATAAATCTCAAACTCCGAGACAACAGAGGCAACCATTTTTATTATCATACTTCCACACCTCTAGCTTTTAGTGGATATTTTAAGTCCTTCACCTCCCTACATAGTTGCTAAATTGTCCCATATCTTCTCTAACCTGAATATTTTCCAAACTCCACAGAGGAGGATGGAAAACTTTAAATATAGTTCCCTATATTTAAGCCTTAAATAGTGCAAGGAAAATATGAAGTGTATCCATTTTGGTTACAAAAATATATGCTACATGAATAATAAGACCAAACTGCTGCACAGAAACTGTTCTTGCAGCTATCAGTGGCACTTGCATGTACATAACACCTGCACAAATAGATTCCTTTTTGCAAGTCTGAATAATTTACATTCCTATATTTATTACGACATCCGATTACCTCAATTTCCAAATTATTTTCATTTCAAAGGATGTGACAGACTGTGAAATTCTTCTGTCCATTTGGTCTATTCATTTTCTGTAAACAAGGTCTGCTTTCCCAGCTCCTGGAGGGATGTCAAGTTTCCTAATAGCAGTACAGCATGGAATTATGCATTTACCTGTGCCTACCTTGGAAGTATGCATTGATTTATTCTCCTTTGGCTTCTCTTGGTAAATTAAATACTTGGAATGCTTTTCTTCAAGACACTGTTGACTTAAAAAATTTATAATTACAACTAGAGCCTGAAAAAACTTCTTATGTAAGTATATATCACTGTTGATTTTTTAAGAGAATTTATTTTTGGCTTAGAGATCTGGAAGTAAGACATTTGCTTAAAATAAATGAACTGATTAGTGAGTACATTGACAAGCACTGCAACTGCATGAGTTAGAAGGGAAAAATAAGATACTTTTTAAATTTAAAATATTTGAGGGATGGATAGAATTGTGAGCTCTTTTTATTTTTTTTTTTTTTATGTAAAGGACAAACACAAGGTTTAGTTATGACAATACTGTGGCTACACTGAAATACCAAAAGAAGCTTACGTAAAACTCCTATAAACCTCTTTCTGTAGCCATCAAAACTTGAAGCAAAGTAATTCACTAAGCAAAGGGAAGTCAAAAAATGCTTGGGATATTAATGTAATAAAGAGCAGGTAAAATTACTGTATAAACTACATTTAAATGTAGTTTGGTGAACTGCAGAAATTCTTAGAATCATAGAACATTATGCTTGGAGAAGACCTCCAAGACCATCAAGTCCAACCTTAACCACCCACTGAGGGCCCAAAGAGACACGTCTGGTTTTGAACACTTCCAGGGATGGTGACTCCATCTCTTCCCTGGACAGCCTGTTCCAGTGCTTAACCACCCTTTCAGTGACATTGTTCCTAATATCCAACCTGAACCTCCTTTGGGACAGCTTGAGGCCATTTCCCCTTGTCCTGTTGCTGGTTGTCTGGGAGAAGAGACTGACTCCCACCTGGATATATCCTCCTTTCAGGCAGTTGTAGGGAATGATGAGGTCTCCCCTGAGCCTCCTTTTCTCCAGGTTAAACACCTCCAGCTCTCTCAGCCACTCCTCACAGGGGTTATGTTCCAGATCCTTCGCCACTTTGTTGTCCTTTCTCTGGGGTGGCATTATTTTGTCCCCAGAACCTCCCCACTTCTTCCTCAGCATTTCAGTTAAGGAAGCTGAAAACAGCTACTTTGATTCCAGAGGTAAGAAAAACCAGAATGTTTTATCTTGATTTTTGCTGAAATAAACGAGTCACAGCATTTTTATGTTTCAGAGCAGCTTGTTAGAAATCAGGCCAAGGCATATCAGGAACCTCGTGGACTTGACAATATTTCCACAGCCTTGCTAAATTTCAGTGGATGTCAATTCCATTAATTTCCTTACATGTAAATGTTTGAAAACATGTAAGCCTCATTATCCACAACTGGAAAAACTAAAAACTGCATTCTGATTTATTTTAGACCTGCCTTCTGCCAGTTTCATCTGTTCTTGCACTGCAAAAGCAATTATACCATCCTGTCCATATTCACTGTTCAACTCTAGAGCTGACAGACCTTCCTCATACCATACTCTTTTTTTTTTTTTTTTCCAAAATAAAGTCTCCTTTCTTACTGCACCACTGGTTATATGGAAGATATTTCATACTTACAATCATGCCTTCTGCCTTTCCCTGAATCTTTCCATTTCAACCAGAATTTCAAATTTCTTTGAGGTATGAGAAGCAGTACTATTTGTGGTATTAAACTAAATTTGTGGTATTAAACAGAAGCAAAGGACATATTTATGAAAGAACATATGATATTCTGTTTTCTATTCCATTCCAAATAATTCTTAAAAACATTTTTCCTTGTTCAACTGATAATGGAGACTGAACTGTCATTTTCATCAAATTACCTATTACCACACTAACTACATTACTATGTAGACCTTGTATGCAAAGCTATTTTTTTCCATATGAAATTTTTACAGTAATTTACAATGAAATTCATCTGCCATTTTGAGTCCATTCACTCAGCTTTATTATACATTTCTAAGATCAACTTTCACCTTTCATTCTGTGAATAATTCAGTATCAGCAGGTTTTCTCACCATCCTTCTCACTCTTTTTTCTAATTCACTTACAACTATGTTGAATGTTACACTCCGAGCAGAGATCTTTCTACCTTTTTTTCCACTATCTTAGCCTTTTAGAAAACCAAAACATTTGTCCTAATCTCTGTTTCTTGCCTCCTAACCAATTAGTGGTTCACCATTTTTCTGTTCCATATTCCACATTCTAAGAAACAATTAGTTTCCTTAGAAACTTCTGGGAACACCTTGTCAAAAACCTCTGGCAATCCATGCAGGCTCTACCAACAGCATCATATTTGTTGATCCTTTCAGAGAGATTCAACAAGTTTATAAGACAGGGAAGATCATTGTTATAAAAAAAACATTTTTCCCAGGAAAAGTATCATACCCATTCATGAGTCACATAATTCAGCGTTTATTCTAAATTTGGAGTTCTGACAGTACACATCTAGGATTTTTTGACCCTTGCTACTCTTTATTCACCAGTTAACAAGATCCTTCTCCAATGCAAAGGCTTCTGCAAAGGAAAGTTCTGGCCTAGGAATTATTTCTGTAACTAAATTCATCCATGGTGAAGCAAAAGTAGAAGTTAATGAACAGATTGGAGCTCCCAGTGCTTAATCACATGAACTTTTCTTGTTTCTGTTTTCAAGCAATATTGCAACTCGTTTACTTCTGATTTTTAAAGCCTATCAATTGAGTAATTTGGAAACAAATCAGTCATCAATTCAGATACCTTGCAAAAATTGGTTTTTGAAGTCAACAACTCCATAATACAGTTAATAGCCAAGCAGAAAAGGAACCAATAGGAGTCCTTAGAGCAGTGGCACTTACTCAGAAGCAGCTTAATTCTAAAAATGCAACCTTTACTTCCAAGATTAACTTGTCATTGAAACAGCTGAAACAGCACAACAAAAAAGGCATATTTCTACCATTTTTTCTTCCAGAAAATAAGGCTAAGGTGTCATAACATTTTTGTTCCCTGAAAAAATAGTATCAGTAAAGTGATCATCTTTTACAAATGACTAATGTGTTTTTATGAGCTTTTGACAACACTGAAGAGTTTTTCACCACACTGGAATTTGACGACAAGCCTCTATTTAATTTTCTTGACAACCAAGGAAGTCTCAAACAGTTTTAATGGACTTAAAGATGTTAAACTTCAATTTCTCATGTGCCACTCACCTCTCAACTCTCCCCCCCTTTAAATGTCAGCTTTCTGGGAGAACAAGATGTGTCTATGCTGTTTGCAGTGGTAGTGACTGCTAAACAAACATGTGGGTGGTCACAGTTTGAGAAAGGAGGACAAGGACCTACCTGCTTCTTTGGCAACATCTGCAGTTGAAATATTTTGGAGGTTTGAGTGCACTCGGAAGGTCACAGCTGGTCCCAGGACACTGAAAGAGATTATTAAAAAAATGTAAGATTCATAATCAAGAATCAATGTAAGATTCATAATCATGCCATAATATCCCTTATCAAAATAGGTTTTTAAAGAGAACCTATTAAGACACCATTTAGCCCCCTTCCTTTTGCTTCATTAGCTACATTTGCATACATTTTTATGCCTCTTGTGGTTTCCTGTGTGTATTTTGTGCCCGTCTGAAAGAATTTCAATGATATTAACTAAACTTCAGAACACTTCTGTAAATACTATTCTTATTATGAAGATGGCAAAATGGAGGCACGGAAATTGCTATTCAGTGAAGTACAGCATAGATCATCACTGGAATTCAGCATCCAAAGAAGATTACATGTATTTTCACATTTTGTATTTCTAGTATCAACACAACCTCAGTTGCTGTTGTCACACCTGCAAGTCAGAGGGACAATATAAAAACTCAGAATATTTATCTTAATGATATTCTGTAAGAATATGTGTGAAGAGATTCTGGACATATCTGATCTAATAGCTGGTTTGACCACAAAAATACCACAAAATATTTATCACTTAACAACAGAGGGGATAACAATTTTTGAGAGGAAATTATTTGACTCTGTGAAGACCTTTCTGCATGTAGCCTGGTGTTCCTTTATGGCACTGAAATCTATAAGATATTTACAGAAGAAGGTACTGATTAGCCAGATGTAGAATGGCAATGTACTCTGGGTTTCACCAAAAAATATCATCGTGCAAGGAAAAATAAATCTGTATTAGTAATGTTGCATTCACTCTCCATCCATCCCAATAAACATCCTACAGGTACATCTGATGAAAGGAAAGAAGACATTTCAAGTGTGATGTCCTTAAAACTATACTTAAATACTTATCTACAAAACACATAAGAAAAATACACATAAAAATATAGTGAATGTATTATTGAAGAAAAATTTCTGGGGAACAAGAGACTATACCAATTATAAGGGAGGAGAAGAGCATAAGATCTGAAGAAAAAGAAAAATTGGCACTGTTTTATAGAAGTTTACTTACATAATATATATCATGCAAGTTCCCAAGGTTTTTTACACTCATATTATCAGTGAAAAGAATTATATTTATTCTATGAAGAGCAACCCTGCTTAAAAGGTGAAGTGCATGGGCTGGAACTGTACATGTAACAGCTTTTAACTTCCTATGGCCATGGCTAAGGAGAGACTGAAATCTGAAAAATTGCCGCATAAAAGAAATAACTTGAAAAATATTTTGTTGCAGGGCTTGAAATGAAGTATTAAGTTATTCTTTTAGTAACATGCTCATCTCTTAAAATCATAGAATGGAGAGCACTTAATGAAGTGTGCTAATTGCATCACATATATCTTAGACAGAAATACCTTTAAACTTTTTCCATTTCACACAGAAAAAAATCTTTCCTTAACTATTAGACTTTGCTTTGAGGTTACAAAGGGAATCAGAGTAAGAATAAGAAATATCCTTTCATCTTTTACTAGCAGAGCATGCACTGCACACATTTTATTCTGGAGTTAACAGGGACTGCCATTAATCAATCGTTTTTCTTGAAGTACTCTTGGGGGGAAAGGAGAAAGAGAAAATAATAGATTTTATTGTTAAAGGACTCCAAAAGTCTGGTCAGTAATGGTTAAGAAACACTTTTAACTATGCCAGGCAAGTATAAAACATTTGTCAACATCATATTAATATTATAGATTAAAACGCTCAACAATTGCAAAGTACTTTTTTTTTGAGATAACTGCTTTACAAAAATCCAGACTGTTCTCTCACTAACTCTGAGATAATAAACCATAAAATGCACCTCTTTTAGGTTATCAAACACTGACTCTAACTAATCTTGCACTGTCCTTCTTTCTTTGCTGCCAACCTAAGCGACTCCTCTCAGGTGCTCAGATATCTACAGTGCAATTAGCAGTCTGCTTTAAATAAAAGCAGCATCACCCCAGTATGCAGCTCTTGCATCACCAAGATAGGAGGGAAAGAAAAACCAATTTCAGATATTCCCCCCAAATCTTCACTGCATAGTCCATTATAGCTAAGAACCTAGAACAAACACAAAATTTCAACCACAATATAGTTATACTTTGGCTCTATCAGGAAAGACAAAAGGTTTCCTGCCCTCCTTCCCTTACCTGAAGTTTTATTTTTACCTCTCAGCCACTCCCTACTTCCTCCCACTTGTCCTGCCCCATTCCCAGCAGCCTTGCACATCCTGGCATCAGTAAAATCATAGATTAAAACTGGATCATTTCAGTGACCCAGCCCAGGCAGTGAGAGACAGGGATTTCCAAGGAATGAAGCCTGTCATCAACCATCCCACCATTCTCTACTGACTCCACATGGATAATCCAGGAACACAGGAAGATCAGAGTCATACCCACATCAATGTTGCCACAAGTACTGTCATTTCTCCTCACTGCTCAGGGAAAACAAGAACAAAAAACAGGGCAAGGAAAAAAAATTCCTTATGCAAGTGGGATGATACTGGGTTAAGACCATCCTTTTGCAAGAAAGAATAAATCTCAGAATAATTTAAAACACCCACTCATATGTTGCTCTGTGGGACATTGTTTTCCTCTACTGTAGCAATTGAATTATTCTATGTTAGAAATCACCTGAGCACCACATCAGCATGGCTTCACTAGGAATATTTGCAAAATACAGAAAACAAAGCTGCTTTTGTCAAATTTTTTGCACATTGGCATTCTGTTTATTTAAAAGCAAACAAAAGACCTTCAGATTACTTGGTCAAAATTGCATTTCTGCTTGATGTTTTGGGAACTGACTGCTTCAGGAGCTCATAAAATGAGATTTTTCTCATGGGGGCTTCTGGCAAAAGCACTCAATAAATAAACATTTCAATAACAAAAGATGCCCTTTAGGGAATTCCTCACTGTTCATTATGTGTTGGATGAGAACATTTAAACAAAACCAGTAATTATTTGAGTGCAAATTATTTTTAAAATACTTTTTAACAAGAGGTCAACCAGCCTGAAAAAAGGTTTCAAGATGTATAAAATACAACTCTGATAGAAAATTTGAGTTGGGTGAATGAGACTGCTTTCCTGTGTCAGACCCTCTGAAACCTGGCTAACATTAATGGCAATTGTCTTCCAAATGCTCTAAATACAGGGGCTCACTGAGGTGCTCACACTTGTTTATAAGCTGATGAATTGGAAGCAAACCATTCCCACAGATAAGGGAGATGCTGGGGGAGCAGAGGCATCTCTGCTGCTGGTACCTTACCCCAGCCAGCACTCACCCAGCTGGGCAGGAGAAAACAGTCACACAGAAACCACATTGACCAGGCTGAAACCTCACCCACATCTGGCATCTGCTGCAAGTGAGGTTAAGAATGTTAGACAGGAGTTTTTGTCTATCCTTCCCCTGAGCTGCACGCTACTACAATTACCCCCAGGTAAATCTGTAGTATTTTTTTCTGAGCTTATACTCACTTAAGTAAGTGAAGATTGTAAATTTTAGAAGCTATCTGGACTTAATTGTAATTGCACTTATCAATTTTTCCTTATATTTTCTTACAATTATTTTTAATAAAAGTAAGCTGTTCAAGGGTAATAAAGAGTGACTTCTCCTCACACAAAATGTAATGTGTGTTGCAATGACCTGCTAAATTTATTATTTGAACTTTACCAACTAATTACCCCCCTGTTGGCTGTCACAACTTTTACCTTTTTTTCTTTACTTACGATAATGTTGCCTTCAGTCATAATAAGGGTTTTTTTTAACAAAGACATTCTAAGCATATTGCAAATTGTCACCCTTATGTGCTGTTGTCTTTTATTCTGTTTACTAGAGATGAAATAATTACAGTGTTTATACCAAAATGACTTGAAGGTTGATTGCTGATTTAATAATATCCCCTCCCCTTGGGTTTATATTTCCCATCTGAAGGTGGGAGGGTGCACAGCACACACAGAAACAAAGAATATTCTTTGTGTAAAATATAAGTATTTCCTTTTGTTAATTGTTTTACGACTAACAGCATTCTTCTCATATTTTCCCTGTCAACAAATGAATGATCTGAATAAACAGAGCTGGAGCATGATCAATATGGCAAGGTCCATATCACTTTCAAGCCGTAGGTTATAATTATATTTATGAATGACAGGATTTAAATCTCCATAAATTATGTAGCAGGCTTTGCACGCCTGCTCCTCCCCCTCGTGTGCGCGTACTCCAGCGCTGCAGGATCACACCGCGTGTTGGCTCAGAGATGCAGGCACAGTCTATCATACCCCCTAGTGGAAAAGGATTTGAGAAACAAGTGCCAACATGGGTCTGTGTACTCTTGAAGATGAGACATAGAGCTGATGCCAAATGGAAATGATTTGAGGTGGCATCTCATTTTTAAGATACAGGCAAAGTGCAATTTCTCAAGACTGGAGGAAGATGAGGAGATTAGGATTGGCTATTTCCAACATCAAACATTCTCCTAATGACCCCATTTAATAAAACAGGGCTTGCCTTAATAAAGCTTAGATTTGAAATTGAAGTCACCACTTGTCTATATGTTCATTTCAAAATCCTTTAATCTCTGGAGGTTAAGAAAAGCAATTAGTAACGCTCCAGAGGACTATGCAAAGCAAATTTTATAGCAGTGAAGGTAATTGTCTCAGGAAACATTTGGTGGGCTTGAACTAATGACTTGCAATGTATACACATTTCTATGCCTTCTGTGTATAGGAATTTGAAGCTTATGTCCATTGTTTATATTGCACTGAAGCCCCTTTTTCACCTTCTCAATTTTGGAAAAATTAAGATGCTCGTGTTGCTGTAAATGTTTTACATATTATATTTAGATGTACATAAACATAGTTATGTCAAATCAAATCAATGGGGAAAAGCACATAATTAGCAGAGGCATTTTTGTACTACATTATGTTTCTACAACATGATTTACAGAGAAAAGCAAAGGCAGAAAATTTCAGCTGGACATTGACACATAATACATGAATGGATTAATGG